TTTTTTTTTTTTAATGAGTCGATATGCATGCTGCTCTGTGTACAACACTGTTTTAGGCAGCTTTTAAATTCAATTTTGTTTTGTCTTACTTTCTTCATATTAGTCAAGTTTCATTCTATATTTGGAACGCTCTATGTGAATCTGCCATGATATTTACTATGTCACGCTAAATCTGCTTATTTCACCATGCCTCTAGACTGTTCAAATAATCCTCCTTCCCTTCAGAAGTAACTTTTTCATGTATTATTTATACTGTGTGATTGTTATTTTCCGCCCCCCCCACCATTTTAATTACACTGCGTAGCCAGTGAAAAATATTTTAACCTCTTTAGCCATTTCTCTAACAAATATGCTTAAAGACTACCATTATCTCAGTTAAAAAAAACACATTGGGATGCCAATCTGATAATATTCATCATAATATTTAACCATTGCAGAAAAACACATCAGTGGTTTATATTCAGCCTCTGACAATATCTGCCTTTATTTTTCATTTTTAAATTCCATTAATTTATAAACTATGCCTTTATTTTGTATTTTTATTGCAGATAACCTCTATTCCTATCAGCAGAACTATTTTCATATTTATTTTAATTTGGCAAACGTTAGATTTATTTCTTTGTGTGTTGTGTCATTCGAGTGCATCTTGCATTTGGTAGAAGATAAACGTGGTAGTTTAAGAAAGCTCATCTTATACCAGTGACCTTTCATGTTCCTCCCACATGGGAGTCTGAAGTTTTGTTGATAGCATTATTTGCAGTGTTTGCCTCTCTTTGAAGAGTTGGGGATGTTTATCACTGAAGAACAGTGGAGCTGGGGGCTGCTTTCTGAATTTGTGGTATGTTGGGTAACTGTTTGTGTATGGAGAGGAGAGGAGGTTAGAAGTGATCTAGCCTGTTGTGGCCATGTTTATTTTCTTCGCTGTTATTTCTTTTCCCTTGCCCTGTAGGTGACTTATCTTCACACAGCTTTCTATTTTGAATTTAGTGAAGTGGCTCCAAAGGGGAAGCAGAGTCTGACCAGTTAGCATTGAGGAGTGATTCTTGACTAATGGCTGCTGAATCTTGTTACTTTCTATTAACCTGGAATTAATCTGAGATGCTATTTATCAGACCTTATGTGAGGCAAGTGTACTGCCATACAGTGCCTTTCCAAGACATCCTAGAAAGCTTGTTCTTTTATCAGCTGGTTTAGTGAGGCTAAATGCTGGCACAGTTGAGTTGTTTATCTTTTGCTCAGCATTCCTCCTGTTCTGTATCGTGGCAAAGGCATCAGCCCCTTCGTATCTGCTGTTTGTGATGACAGCACTGCTCCTGATTAAACAAAGGCATCTTTCCATTTTGGTTTTGGTAGGTGTTCCTTTTACTAGCATGACAATTGAAACTATTATTTTCCTCTAACTCCAGGTGTTTCCAGGTATGTGTTTCCAGGTATTCTCCATGCACAGTAGTTGAGACTTCTTGGAGGCTTGTGTAGAGAAGGCTTGTGCCCCCTGCCCACACGCACACATGCTTTTTGGTGTATACACAGATATCTTTCCCAGCAGTCTTACCTGGACTTTTGCCCATAATATCCTACTTAAGATAACAATACACTACATAGAAGTACAATGACACAATTCTGTCTACTGTAGTAGAATATCTAACTAAATGCTGAATTTGTCCTTACTGCTATGTTTATAGGCAGTAACGTTGCCTGTAATGCAGTGCTGCTTTATGCTAATGATCTGAATAGGTTATATCCTGTAGCTTTCCATTTGCTGCTTTTCTGAAATCCAGGACACAAAACATGTCTATCTCTTCTGTATGAACAGCCTTCTGCTGTTGTGTTTCTACAAAGCCTCTCTTCCTTATTTACATAATCAGTGTTGAAAGATCTTAGTATGGCACTAGCCACGTTACACGTGCATGCTTGCAGACTTACTAAGATAGATGTATACAGATATTACCTTATAGTTCTTTATCTCTTTGCTCATTTGCTGTTTCTAATAGTTATCACATCCATAATGCTGGATTTCATCATTGCTTCTGCAGGAGGTGAAGGACTAAGGACATCTGGGCCAGTCACAGAGGATGTTATATTGAAAGGATTTCTTGAGCACTTGAAAACAAGGAAAAATTCCAAAGAAACTAAATCAGGCTAGTGCTTACAAGAAAAATGAATGGTAGTGCTATCAAATTTGCTCAGAGCAGACGACAAGAGAATTCCTTCCTCTGCTCATAATGCCATCTGTGTTTTAGGCAGTGCTTAATTAAGTCCGACAGTTTTGAAGCACCTATTTGTAGTGTTTGACTGCTATGCCATTGAGGATGTCAGCAGCATGACAACTCTTAAAGAAGCATATACTTAACCTCTCAGTCTCACTTTAAAAGATAACAAAGGAGCCCACAAGCCTTGGTGGTTTGTGAAAACCATGCCCTAAGGAGACTGTTTGTACCCTCTTTGCTTTATATCAGTCCCTAAGCAGAGACTGGTGGCCTAACTCTATAACTCTATCTGTATTCAGGTCAAAAGAGAACAGGTAGAAAAGGAATGGGTCTCTCACATCGTTCCTGGTCAGATGTGGTGGGGCACTGCCACTGCAGAAGCAGCATGTGCTTTCGGCATGGTTGACCCTGAGAATTTGGAAAGTGGCTTTTGTCATTAATTCTGGCGTCTAAGGTAGACCTTAAATGTGGGAAATATAGCTGTGGCACCTCCAATGCGCTTTCTAAGTTTGTCTATTTGTCCCCAACTATCCAGCCAGTTTTGCGGACTGACTTTTAGAAAACAAACTGCTTCCCCAGGCGGTACTGCAGGTTGGCACGTTGGGCAGCTCGTGAGCCTGCATTTCTGCAATACAGTTCTGAAGGCTGAAATAGCAAGATGGAGCAAATTCTAGGCTGTTTTTATTTAGGTCAGTCTCATGCAGGGGATTTACTAGGTGCCTCCTCTTATTTTATACCAGACTTAGAAAACCCAGTGGTTTGTATAAAAAACAAAAGTAAGCCAGTAAGGTTGCAAAACAAACTTGGAAAATAGCCATTATAAGCATGAAACAAGTGTTCATTTTTGCCTTCAATCATTCTTTCACTGTGTGTTCTTCTAGGAACATGATTATATGTTGTGTTTTTTTTTCCAGATTTTAGGGAAAAATGCATGTTATTTGCACCAGAAGGAAATGAAACCGATGCCGGTACAGTTGATGTTAAATCCTTCTGAATGAGACATCATTTAGACTTTCTGCTGTAAAAGAGGAAATTGCAGAGGACCAAGGGTTGGAAAGAACCTTAGGGGTCTCTGGCCCCCTGCTGCTTGCAGCCAGGCCAGCTGTTAGAAGGGGCTGTGCTGTGCAGGCCTCCATCTGGTCAGGCCTTGAAAACCTTCAAGGGCAGAGACAGCACAGCCTTGCAGGGCCCTGTCCCAGTGCCAGGCTGTATGCAGCAGGGAAGAGGCTCCGTAAGGCAGCCTGAGCCTCTCCCAGTTTGGCTGAAGCCACGTGTCTCCTGCTGCGAAGGGCCTAGTTGCAGGTTTTCCATAGCTTCCCTGTTGGGTGATGCTGGGGCTGCCTCTTTTCCTGCTGAACTAGCCCCAGTTTCTCAGCCTCTTCTCACAGGGCCTGTGCTCCAGCTTCCACATCTTGGTGGCCCTCTGCTGAGCGAGCTCCTGCTTGTCCTTGTCTTTCCCATGTTGGGTTCTGGTGAATGATCCAAGTGCTTCTGTTAATACAAGTGTTTCTTCACACATTGGTTTTCATTCCATCAATTCACTGATGGATGTAGTAGCTGATGGCTTTGATCCTGAAAGGTATTAGCCTCTTTTGTGTAACACTTCAGTTACAAATGTAAATCCAACAATTGTAGAAGCCTTTTAGGACCAGCTAGTTCATAGGCTTGCAAATGTGATTCTCCAGAAAATTATCTCTGTAGTGTTCCATGTTCAAAGTTTGATAAGTACTTTGCCATATAAAATGTATTTACATTAGAAGAAACTCGTGCACAAGTCTATTGTGGGAAATCTCCAGTGGACGAAGCAGACAAAATAAGAAGAAAAATGGGTGGTTCTTCAATTGCAGATTTATTTCTTGTTTTGTAATTCCATTATCACCATTCTTAAACAATATTATGTACCTTCTTTTTCTGTTGTGATTGACACAGGAAGCATTGAAGATGATTGATGTGGAGTTATTAATGAAAAATTATTTTAAATTTTCTTTAAGCATGATGGGCAGTCCTTATGGCGGGCATTACAGATATCTTAACGTGTATTTAGACAGCAATGTGTTAGGATTTCATTTTTTCTTCGTTTTTATTCGTGTTTGTAGTTGTACATTTTTATTGGTGTTGATAATTTGTTTCATAGGCATAACGCTTATTTTTGTCTTTCATTGATATGGAAAGGCTGCTGATTCTGAAAGTGGTCCCATCTGCGTAAAATCAGCCATAAGTTTTTAGCATTTTCATCTTAATTAAAAAAAAAAAAAAGTAAGATGGGGATGCGGTAATTGTTGGTCTTAGTCTTATTTTTCGTTTTTGTTCCGTTTTTTATTCCTTCTGTTGTTACTCATCTTCCCTTCAATCCTTTCCTATTATCCTCCATACTGTTCTTTCAGTGCTGTTTTTTTTCCATAAATTGAATATAAGATTTTCTCACCAAACCCCCAAAGTGGTGCTGACTTAAGACACTTGGAACAGAGTACATTGTGTTGGTAAAGCCAAAATACTTAAAGACAAGTTGCTGCGTGCTGTTGCACAACCTGTCTAGTGGTTTACAAGATGAAACCGAAAAATGTACTTTCAGCAGCCTTGTAACTTCAAAGCCAAGTGCGTGTGGAAGAATGAAATGTGTGTCAGGAGGCTATAGGCCTGAACGTAGTCCTTTTATTTTTTATTTATTTATTTTTCTGTTCTCCAAGCAGTGCTGCAGAGCTGATTTCTTGCTTAGTATATGGACTGTTGACAAGATGTTTTGCATACTGCAGATGCTGAAATTGAATTTCTGTTTCTTTTTGCCCACTGCAGAGGCTGCAAGTCGTGCCATTGTCCAGTTTCTGGAGGTCAACCAAAGTGAAGAAGCAAGTAGAGGTTGGATGCTGCTCACCACAATTAATTTATTAGCTTCATCGGGACAGGTTAGTCTTAACAAGGCTTAAAAAAAGTTGTGGGGTCAAAGATGGAAGAACCACAGTCATAAACTCTGAGGACACACACTAAAATATGTTCTAACTACCTTTTGCTTTCTGTGCTAAGGCCCTGTTCTGTTACACTGCCACAGAACTTCTGCTTTAGCTCCTCATGGTTTCAGTTGCCTAAAAATCATTCTTTTGGAACATGAATTTAGAATGTTCTTTTGAATTACACAGACAATTATTACTGTTCCCCAAATGTTTCTTTGTGCATGCTGCCGCTTGGTCTCTGAGGTATGTCACACACAGCTCCTAAATCACTCGGTCTCAATACTTGGGCTCCCCATTTGTGTAGGAGGCATTGCAGGAAAATGAAGACAATAGCAGTGACAAGCGGATGATATTATGAACATTTACTGCCTCTGTTTTTGGTTCCCCCCTGCCCGCATCAGAGAGCCGTTCTGTGGCAATGTACTTAACAGCTGTGTGGTTTATTCTTTCTGCTCTAATTTGCCATTATAATTCAGCACATCATCTTATATGCATTTAGTATGTCACCAGCCTCCACTCCAATTTGCCTTTTCTTCCCACTGATGCTTTCAAATTTTCTTCTGCTATGCTCCTTATACCTACTTGTACCTTCTTGCCATGCAAGTGCATGAATTGACTGACTGTCCTCCCACTCCCATTTCTACTGTTGCAACGAATATATGGTTAATGAGGGCTTGGCTGAAGGTTTTGTAATTAATTCCTAAGTTTCTATTGACAAGGACTGTCAGTTTTTGTTTCTGTCATGTGCAGTGACTGTTCCTAATTGGCTGCTAGATGCTATTGTCACATAAATAGATGATGATGCTATCTTAAGATCACTGTTTAGATATGCGTTCAGGAATAGATGGTGAATCTGTATTGCCATGTGGACAGCTTGGAAAGGTATTAAAAAGAAAATGCCAGCATTTGAGTCAACTTAATTACAGGAGTGTGACTTTTTTAAATATAGTAGTATGCTGAACTATGTTTTTTGCTGTGTTTTCTTTCTCCCCAGAAAACTGTGGACTGCATGACTACAATGTCTGTGCCTTCCACACTCGTTAAATGTCTATATCTGTTTTTTGACCTTCCACATGTGCCTGAGGTAGTTGGAGGAGCACAGAATGAGCTACCTCTTGCAGAGCGCCGAGCACTACTACAGAAAGTCTTTGTACAGGTAAGCAAGGTAAAATAGAAAATACAACTTGCAGAACGAGTGGAGGTGCTTCAAGATGAGGAATCTCCAGAAATCACTCTTCCTTGATTCTTCACAAACTGCTATCTTAGAGTAAGATGGATTTTCTTAAAAGCACAGTTGAATTCCCTTTTCTCCTGTGTTTTTTTAGTTCTCAGCAAGAATCCACAAAAATGAATAGAACTCTTCCATGCAGCTGCTTAAAATGAGCAACACGTTGGCTATTACTCTGCTTTAATCAAACTGGTGTTAGTGTTTGGTATCTTTAGCCATTATTGATAGAAATAGACATAGTAAAAATAGTAAAAAGTTTTCCCCCAATTTGCCAGGGAGACCAAGGACTCCTGCTTTCTGAAGCTTCCAGTAGAGTTCTTGTGAAGGAATTTCCATATGTTCTTGTGACTAAACTGTTAAAAGGAGCTGAGAGTTACTTTTAGAAAGGGGTCGACAGTCATGCTGCCAGTTTCCAAGTGCAAACGGGAAGTGTCTGTGTAGCAAACATCTGATGAAAGTTACCAGTTACAGTTCCCCACAGTATGCTGCTTCTCTGCTCTTTTTTGTCCCTCATTGAAGGCCATCAAGTGGTGTTCTCAAATGAGTTAGCTGGAACAGGTGAGATTTCACATATCTCCCGGGTTCTGCTTTTACTTTGATTTAATGTATAAATGTCCTCTAGATGCAGGCAACTTTACGAAATATTCTTATGGTTTTCTGGGAGAGAGCCTCAGCTTCCCGCAGGAGATAGAAAATGGACTTTTGTGCTGGTTGGCCAAGGTGATATTTAAGGTGTCTTCCAACCTTAATGATTCTGTGACATCAAGTGTTTTCAGAACACACACAGAAGGGAGCACAGTGTAGCAGCTTTGGCTGCATAACTGCATTTTTTCCTAATTAAGGTAACTTGTCAGTTCAAATTCAGGTGACAGACATTCAGGTAGTGCTATAGCATTGCTGTAGCATTTTCTGCTATGTTTTTTTAGCTGTTTTCATTTGGCCGAGAAGGTATGGCTGTTTATCTGCCAATAACTGATCGATTAGCTTACCTGCAGGAGGAAGGAGTTTAACAGTTTTTTTCTTATGACGATTGCCCTGCTGCAGGATTTGAGCATCTGAATCAGCAAAAAATAAGGTTCTGGAAGAAAGGAATATCCTGGTACCCAAACAAGCATGATGTGTCAGCCTGAGAGATTTATTTGAACTCTTCTACTAATGCTTTTCTAGTCATTTTTAACGGAATCAAGACCTGAAATAGCCATTTGTTAAATAAGCTTGTATGGAATTTAAAATTGAGAAACAATATAGAGGGATATACATTGCTGCTCTTAACATGCATGCTAAATGGAAGAAAGTTTTGGGTTTTGCTAAGTTTAGTCAGAAACACTAATACCAATAGTAGAATATTAATATTGGATGTTTAATGACTTCCTGTTTCAGATCTTGGTAAAACTGTGCAGTTATGTGTCCCCCGCGGAAGAACTGGCTCAAAAGGATGATCTGCAGCTTTTATTCAGTGCAATAACTTCATGGTGCCCTCCCTATAATCTGCCTTGGAGGAAGAGTGCAGGGGAAGTACTGATGACCATATCACGTCATGGCCTTAGTGTCAATGTAGTGAAATACATTCATGGTACGTTTCTTTATCCAGTATTAATTTATAATTTTTTTCTTTGATTATTCTTGTAGTTACAAAATAGGCATGAAAATAACAGATCAAGGAAAACTTATAGGCTCTTTGTTTGGCTATGTAAGTGTTTACATGCATGTAAGATTTCAGAACACTTGTATTTGCAGTTGAGTCTGCTTCATCCACATGTCAAATGAACACTGAACAACAGTGCTTCTCCTAATGTTTTGCTGTAGAGCTTACGATGACAAAAAAAGGATGTGCTTTCTGTCTAATTCTTGCTATTGTTTGGGCATCTTCAGTAAATATTTGTATTGAAAAGCAGTCATTGGGCAGATGGATAGGTCTGTCATTTTTGCTGCTAGGCAGTAAGTCCTTAAGGGGAAGATGTTTTTTCCTGTCTTGTTTGGATTAGCAGCAGCAGTCCCTTGCAGTGGCAAGGTAAACTAGCAGTGCCTCATGTATGACTGCTTGTTTAGGTAATGCTCTGGCTGGCAATTCAAGTGTCGGGACATCTGAGGAAGCCACAGGAAGAGGAGCCAGCTCCATGCATTCTTCTGATGCATTTTGAGCTATCCAGAAGCCCACGTGGTAGGCTTCTGCAGTGGCCTTGTAGTAAATACTGGTGTTATGCTAACCAGGGAGAGCTAATCTGGAAGATTGCAGAGATAATGTACTTTCTCACAGATATTTGCTTCTCCAGGAAGAGACCAGGTTAGATGGATACACAGTTAACATATTCAACAAGAGCAAAACCTGGGTAATGCAGGTAGTAGCAAATGCTCAAGGGAGCTTGGCATGTGGGCACAGCAGCACCTGAGCATGAGCCCCCACGTGCTTACTGATGGTGTATTGGAACAGCCTGCCTGTGCCCTGCCCCATGGTCCAGCCCAGCTTCCCTGTGGGGTTCCCAACCCAAGGCTGTTGTCCCTAGAGCCTTCTGCCTTGGATCAGCAGTGCCCCAGTCCTTTGCCCAGCGGAAGTTGTCTCTAAGTACTGGTGCCACCAGTGCGATGGCCACCAACAGACTGAATCAGCCAGACTCATTCAGGTTCACTATTAAGACAAATATTATCCTGTTTGGGACATGGAAACTGATGGTGGTGAGAGGTTTTGGAAGATAACTTAAGGAATGCTTTACTTACGATAGATCTTCACAAGGTTCTGTTTGTCATTTGTATAGGAAGGGCTACTGCCATGTGGGTTAGTAGTAAAGGGTTTGTGAAAACAAAGCAAGATGACAACTGTTGTCAGAGAGGATAGTATCCATGGAAAGAGCTTTGTGAAGAAATATGTTCTTGAAAATACTGGTGTTGCAGCTGTTTAAAGCTGTGCTGTGTGTTTAGGCATTTGGAATTTGACATGTGAAATTTGGTATAATATATTTCTGATGTATTTAGGGCTTTCAGATTGTAGCACCATCTAAATGCATAAGTCCTTTTTAAAATGGAATGTATATTTAAATGAGCTAACAGCCTTATTACAAATTTTAGGGGTACAGCATTATTGGTGACAAAAAAAAAAAAAAGAAAGAACCAAACCACTATTTCCCCACACCCTGGAAAGCAAGTTTTTACAAAGTTCCACAAAAACTTTTTGTCAGTTTATGAAATATGGCACCATGCCTCCACATATTTGGCAGAAAATTTTAGTTTGTGGATTTTCTTGCCCTAGCAGCATCTTTCTAATTCCAGTAAGAAAGAAGTGAATGTACAGCATATCTTAGAAGCACAAAATAGGCATCAGTTAAATACTTTCAAATTGGATTTTAAAGGTGATGGTTATTTTACATATATCTGTAGCAGCCTTCTGATGACTTTATAATTAAGGTGTACATATATATTTGAAAAGGTTATAAAGTACAACAAATAAAATAACCCAATCCTGACTCTGTCATTTGATGTATGGCAAGCTGCTACCATTGTTGCTTCCTATTGCTTTGGTCTACAAAGACATGGAGTGGCATATCAAAAGATACTCTAAATTCTTTATAATGTAAATAAGTGAAAATCTTAAAAAACACTCAGCATGACCCCTCACTTCTTGATAAAAATGAACCTGACTTAAGAGATGATAACTTGTACAGGGAGGTTTGTTATGTACTCAAGAAAAAAAATTAAGGCTTTTTATCCCATCAAAGGAACATCCTTTCATTATCTCATGTTTTGACATAATCTTCTGGGACCTTTTGTAATTGGCCTAGCTGGAGATACTTGTACTTCTCTGGCAAATGTTGGAAATTTATAAGAAATCATTTAAGGGAGTGTCTTTGAAACAGGGTTGCATCCTGAAATATGAGTTCAGATTTGGGAAAGCTTTTCGGAATGTATTGGTGGACCATGGGAGAGATGCAGAATGAGACAAGTTGTCTCATTTTCCTCAGCAAGCAAGTATGCCAGCCAAAGAATCGCTAACAAGAGCAGCAATAGGAAATCATCATGTCAAGTGTTCTGTGTTGAGTTTTACGTAACACCAGTACCATAGTACCATTCAGTGCTTTCTATAACTTTGTTTTTCAGTATGGAATAGGATGCTTTAGAGTTACTATAGCAGTTCATATTTTTCTTTTTATTCTGCTGATTCTCCTGATTTAACTTTACTTCTATTATTATTTTTTTTAATCTGGTTTTGCTTTGTCAGTCTCCTTCTTACCTGAGGTAAAGATTATCTAATGGAGAAAAAATCATTAAAAAGAATCATTAATGTCAGTAAAATCCTAAATTTCTCAATCACATTTCTTTTCAGAAAAAGAATGTTTGTCCACATGTGTTCAGAATATGCAGCAGTCTGATGACCTTTCTCCCCTTGAAATAGTTGAGATGTTTGCTGGGCTTTCCTGTTTTCTCAAAGATTCCAGTGATGTGTCTCAAACGCTATTGGATGATTTTAGGATATGGCAAGGATACAACTTCCTCTGTGATCTCCTCCTCAGGTATGCAAACGTACTTGAAGGGATGTAGACAGATGATTGAGCTTTTTCCAAAAAGAGTTCCTATTAAAGAATGGGTCAGTAGATTTGACTGAATAAATTATTAGAGATTGCTATGCAAGGAAGACATTAGGACCAAAACATAAAATGATGTGCTTCCCTCCTCTTATGAAATTACATTGTTTAGCTTCTTATTCATTGGTACTGTTTACTTCTCAATCTTTTTGTATGTTGTAGGAAAGCAGGTGTTTAAAGCAACTGGTGCTATTTTTTTTTAAGAATTCACAAAAATATTTTTTCACTGCAGCTGATGGGTTTGGTTTTGTTTCCTTTTTGTTTAAACAAATTGAAAGTACTGAAAAATCATAAACGTTCGTCCATGCTACTTGGTGTTGAAAAGATCATTTTGTACATAAGCAGAAGAGACCATTTTGTCCATCACAGAGTGCTGGAGAGAACTCCCATGTTACTAGGGTATCAGTGTGGATACACATTTTTTTAATTTGAGTTCTTTTTACAGAAGGGACTGCTAACCTGCTAATACATGACAGAATATAGTGATGCCTGCCAAAAGTAAATGTTGAAGTACAACCCATGATTTTATTTTTTTTCATGAAGGACATGTCGCTTATTCTTTCACAGTGAGAAAATTAGTATGTTTGCTGTGTTACTTGTGCAAAATCTAAGATATGTCCTGATTTTTTTCTGAAGTTCTGAAGATGCATGCATTGCTGTTGATATACGCATGTGTGTTTTTCAAATGCAGGACACAGGCGCCAGCTTTGAAGTGAAAGATGAGTGTGCACCTTATCATGTACTGGGGTCAAAGATGATGAGATATAGTGCTGTAATAGCCATAACTGAGATGAGCTTCCATTGCTAACCAGTTTTCTGGCCATTCATTTTGGATGCTAGGTTGCTAGCTTTTGGTACCCAAGTATTAGAACTTAATCTTCTTTGAGATGTTATGTTTCTTTTCTTTTCCTTTTTTTTTTTTTTTTTTTACGGTTACCAGACATAGACATGGCATGTGAAATTCTTAATAACAGTTAAAATGATTCATAAATTACCTTCTGTGCCAAAATTGCTACAATACATGCTATATTATTTTTCTTCTAGTATAAATGGTTATTTTGAGTATGAATTATATTACTTGAAACACACCAGTACACATCATAAAATTGGTTGTCTTCCAGAAACTGACAGCAAGAAGTTAGGTAGAATTTGGGGAATATGCTATCATTAGCGATTTCATTTTCAAGTACAGCAGTGATCCTCTGTACATCGCGTGTTTTAATCAGACTTTCTTGTGAGCTTGCTTACTCTTTCAGCCAAAGAATGGGAATTCCCTGACAGTGGTATGAGAAGAGTAGGGGTGTGCGTCTCTGAAAAAGGAGAGCACAATCACTCAGCATGTCACTTCATCATTTGACATCATTACAGTGTTAAATCACAGAAATACCTTATCCTCACTTGTTTGAGAGCTGATTGCTAAGAACCTCACGGGAACACTTGGGAGAAGATGAACAAGGCACAGCAATTCGTGTTGTATTTGCTAGCAATCTGTATATTGTAGAGGAGATGGAAGATGGTTCAAAACACACATGCTGTTTAAGTTGTGATTTGAACATGAAATTCACTATAGTTTTGTTTCAAAAAAAAAGCAATCATCTTAGAGAAGCCTGGGCATTGTTCAGTGATCGTCAATAGTGCTGCATTCTCCCTGGATGTGTTGTGGCTCAGAACTAATGACAGAGACTTCTTCAGGTATGCAGTACGTTTGCAAGATGCTGCGAGTCCAGCCACAATGAAGAAAGGCTTGGGAGCTGGTAACACGGACTAACTTGTGAAGATGGTGACTTAATAGGAATCTGCTGGAGACCTGTGAGGAACAAAGAAGAGAGCATATGTTTTGAACTCAGTGATGCAGGGTGTACAGAGCATTCATGGAATGGAAATAGATGAGCTATGTGCTTCTGTAAGGTTCAACCATATGTCTCACTGTGGGGAAAAGGCACAGGATGCAGAATCCTTCGAAAGGCTCTCACTGTCATTGATCAAAGAAGAAAAACACATCTTGCATTGCGTGAGCAAATAGGAGATTGTGGTCTCTGGCTGTCTCCTGAGATCTGTAGAGACTAAGAGCTAGTATGCAATTAGATGTGTTTTAATGTGTTGTATAAAATTGGGCATTCTGTTCAGCTGGTTCCCAGCTGTGCTGTGCAGGCTGATGTGTTGGTGGAGAACAGCCTGCACCATTCCTGTCACTGGCCCCAGCTGCCGCTTGCTGCCCTCCCCAGCCCAGGGACATGTGAACAGTTGCTGTGGATGGAAGAGAATAATCTGGGTTTCTCTGGGTTGGGGTGGAGCACATGTTGGCTTGCCAAGAAAAGGAGGATAGTTTGTTTTACTAGCCTCTTTTAGGGTCAGTTGCGACTGACTTGCTAGCAGTGAATGCTGACAAGGATCAGACGTTACAGTTCCTATCCTCTTGCATTCAGAAAGGGGGGTCTGTATTTCTGAAGAAGGTATTTTGTTGTGCTCTTCTAGGCTTTATGTTTCTATTCAGATACCACTTTGTTAACACAAAATATGAACTGTGAAAGTGGCACATGTAGTCTAGGAGGTTAAGTGCAGATTTATTTAATGGCAGACTATCTACGTATTTTCCTATAAGCTTTCTGTTTGTAAGAGGAATGTAAAGGTAATTTTTAATATCTGTGCTTCTTTTTAGCAGATTTTGGGGTTCACAGCAAGATTTATGAAGTTAATGTCTACAGGAAATAAGTACTAAGTCCTATTAAGGATTGACTTAATAGTAGGAAATGTTAATGGAGAACATGTAAAATATTGCCAGTACAGGGCAATAAAAGCATGTTCTCGAAGTTAATAAAGAAAAATGGAAGAGATGTGTGATTAAAGTCATTCAAGTGACTTTTGCTAACATAAGCTAATTGTTTTCTTTAGGTTAGAACAGGCAAAAGAGGCTGAATCTAAGGATGCTTTGAAGGACTTAGTTAATTTGATTACTTCCTTAACAACATATGGTGTTAATGAGTTGAAGCCAGCTGGTGTTACCACTGGAGTACCTTTCCTACTACCTGGATTTGCAGTGCCACAGCCTGTGGGCAAAGGTGAGTGTTCATTCTCTCCCTCCGTGTATTTCTTTTAAATATAAGAGAAACTGTATACCACACAAACCATTCATAGTTGAGTATAGGTTCTTTTACTAAAGTTGCATATCAAATATGCTTGTCCTAGATGTCCTTCTTCTTTGGAGTTGGTACTCACAGAAGCATGCGAACAAATTTTAACTTTGAGGACTGTACGGCAAGTCAAACATCTCTAGTGAGTTGTTTGCAGAGCTCATAGCTTCTGTGTGGACATTTTAAAAAGAGTATCAGTGTGGAAAGATGCAGTGAATTGATTTATGGTGTTTTAGGCTGATCTTATAAACAGATGTGGAAGGCTGATGCACTGCTTTGGTGGTGCTTTTTTTGTTTTTGTTTTCATTTTCCTTCACATGGATGGGCCTTCTGTGAGCTCTTATCAGCTCATGCAAGGGTATCTTATGAGTTGTAATATGTTTTTTGAGCAGCAGTGAGTATTCAGTGGTATAATCTGTGGTGTACTTGCAACCACGGTGAATTCTGATGAGGAGATAAGGTTGACTAAGTCTGAAGAGGAAAAGGTTTTTATAAAAAACAACTTAAGATTCTAGACACTTAAAATTCCATTTGATTTTGTAGGTAAATAAGTACTTTGGAATTGAGCAGGTGACTGTGTGGAGTGAGCTTGCTGCTTGGGCTTCTTTGGGGTTTTAATAACACTGGAGGCACTTGTGAAGTTTTTATGACAGAGTTAGCTTTATAGATTTATATTTAATGGATTTGTTTTCACTGTTTCTTTCACATATCACAGTTACTTGGACAATCACTTCCTTTCTCTGGTATTGAGAAAGTTCATTGTTTATGGGAACTGTTTTCCCCTTGTGCTAAACAGAGGAAGAAGATAATAGTTATAGAGTTGAATTTGTCCATGTTCTAACTTAATGATTTTTTCCTAAGCTAATCAGATTTCTGATACTGTAGCATGAGATAACCACCATCTCTTGATTTTCAAAATAAAATATTTTTATTTCATTTGCTGGCATTTGTCCTGACATCTATCAGTTCCTTTTACTTGCTTTTTCATTCTATTGACAAGTTGTTTTTTTTTTTTGGAGAACATATTAGCACATTTTCTTAATTGATTTTATTTAAATTTTTTTAGGTTTTGAACGCTGTAGAGGTGGTGAAGATTTGGTTTCTTCAGGGGTCCTTGTAACATTCAAAGATAATTCATTAACCTGCTTGATTGCCTGAAAGAACTGTTTATACTTAATTAGAACATACCTAGTTGTATCGGTCACTGCCTCTGTTCCTGTCATATTTGTTGAGCACTATATCTACTTTCCGACATGTTTCATTACTAAGAAAGCATGTAAAAAGCCTGCTTTTAGAAACAAATGAATGTGATCTGCAATTTAACATTAGTATTCTCCCAGTAAGTGAAATTTTTGCATGTAGTTCTTCAAGGAAGTTTCTTGTTGCTTTCTGGAGGAATACACCAGGGAAAGCAGTGAAGCTAGACACTGGAATAATTGAGTTTTCTTTTAAATTGAATAATTGAGTTTTCTTTTAAATTGAACAACTTAGTTTATAAAAAAGGAATAAGGCAGTATTCCACAGAACATGTGCAACAAATTGGGATTCTTCTTTTACGAAAGGTTTTTGATTTATGCTAATTGTTTGATTTTAGCTTGATTGAAAATGAGGTTTAATTGTTAGAAGTTTTTTTTTTATAACTTTTTAGAGGGTGTTTGTCATGAGGTGTTTCTTGTATAATGGGATTGGTTTACTATGAGTTGTATTGTTCTTGCAAAAGTTGGAAAAGTTACCTTTGCAGCATCTTTCTAGTAGAATACATGCTCTACTCACTGAAAAAATAGGGGAATCCAGGGAACATTCATAAGTGATGCCTTCTTGGGCTACGTGAATGAGATTTTATTGATCTTAAGGATACTTAGGAGAAGTTTGATCCATCTTTTAAAGATGTGAGGTCTTTATATTTTAATAATATGGCTGCTTTGTGCTTTACAACTTCTCCCAATTGTTTTAATTTCTGAATTGTTAACAGTACTTGACCTTGCCAAAGTTTTTTTTTTTTTTTATTCCCAGGCCTGATTGCCACAGCCACCCTTACACTGTCACCTGATTCCAGTATGATTATTCACATAAAAATTTCTAATCCAGAACTGAGCAAGAGCATGCTCTCTCTTGAAGGAAGGCCTCTGCTGGCCTTCCAAAACCCTGTGAAGTTTCTTTGTAAGGAGTTCCCCTCCTTTTTCTCATACAAGACGTCCAATGAGTGGAAGAAACAGAATTGCTCAGAGGCTGTGCATGCTGTTTAGCTTTGAACCCAGCTGATAAGACTGTGTTGCTTATTGCTCTGCTTAATGAGGGTCATCAGATGCGTGTTCTTCCAAACGTAGCCTACCTAATACTTGTGAAGGGCATAGTGGCCTTCTGTATTATGAAATACAGAATGCTTGACTATTGCTGTAATGCATTTTTCTTACGGACCATGTAGATGATGTGCAGGCTTTAATTTTTCTCTATGACTGTATCCTGTTGCACATACTAAAAATAGGTCAACTTTCTCATCTATTTGAAAGAATTGATCATTCATTTAGCTGCATGTGTAAACAGTTTCAGAGTTGAAGATGTCATATCAGAAAGAATAGTAGATCGTAGGATTTGCAATTTAATTGCTTATGCAAATGCTTTTTTAAAGAGTCTGTTTTAATTTTTAAAAGATAACATTCTTAATCATGCTTATTAGAGCGCATGGATCATTATTAGTGACTGTGCTCATTGTTTATAACAATTCAGAACTTTCATTTTCCTTTCTTCTTCCCATCTCACTTTGTTTCCTAATTCAGGTCACAGTGTGAGGAATATCCAAGCATTTTCCGTCCTTCAGAATGCATTTTTGAAAGCAAAAACTAGCTATCTAGCACAAATTATTCTCGATGCCATCATGAATATTTATATGGCTGACAATGCCAATTACTTCATTTTGGAATCACAGCACACATTGTCTCAGTTTGCAGAGAAAATTTCTAAGCTTCCAGAAGTACAGACCAAATACTTCGAGATGTTGGAATTTGTTGTCTTCAGCTTGAACTACATACCCTGTAAAGAACTGATCAGTGTGAGCATCCTTTTAAAATCCAGCACTTCTCATCACTGTAGCATCGTAGCCATGAAGACACTCCTGAAATTCACCCGTCATGACTACATCTTTAAAGATGTCTTCAGGGAGGTGGGACTTTTGGAGGTGATGGTAAATCTTCTTCATAAATATGCAGCGCTTCTGAAAGATCCCACTCAGGCTCTGAACGATCAAGGTAGAGTGTGCTCTTCCAATTTACTACTGCATGTCTCTTGGGGATCGTGGAAGCTAGTGATTAAGAGAAAAAAGCAATAAAGTTTGAATGTGTATCGTAAGAGCAGAGTTCTACTTTGGACTGCTGTGCCATCCTGAAAACACACTGGGATTCCCTCTTTCTTTATGTCCTGCAAGAAGCTTGAGGCTGTGCAAATGCAAAATCATTAGAAGTTTATAATTCCCTTCTTAAATGATTTTTTAATGTATTTTTCCTAATATTTAAGTTATTTTTACATCAAAAGAAAAAATGAAGGAGCATTACATAGACTACTTGCTTCACTCCTGTGCACCAAGTTGTCTTTCTCAAAAAAATGTAATTAGGCATTTCAGAAATGCACCTAAAAGTGCTATCAAGCATGTATCTGTGCTCTTATTAGGAACTTGTTTCCAAGTTAAAAAAAAATAAATTAAAAAAAAAACATATATATATAGATAGATATATAACTTCTTCTTATACTTTGGGTCTACATTTTTGTAAGAGCGTTACAAAAAAAAAGGCACCAAAACCAACCACCACCAACAAAAAAACTGGCATTCTCACGTCCAGGATTTAACATCTGAGATAAGCCACGTAGTTGTTTAGTCTGCAAAGCAAGCACTGACAAGTGCAAGCCATATGTGTGTAGGTATGCTTTTTTTTATATTCTTTACTCAAAAAGGAATAGAGTTAATGTGTGTCAGTGACATTTTTCTTAATTGTAGTTGTTGGCTGTTTCACCTGGGTTTATTGTTTGAAGCTTTGCTGTTGATTTGTAGCTGTTAATTAGACGTAGAAAGCTGTGCTGCCAGCAACTATGCTGGAAAACACACAGTTGCTCAAGTGCTTCTCAATAAATGGACCAAGATGTCATCTGGTTAAGGTGCTACCTGGGGTGGATATTGCCCTTGTGTTGTTGCTTGGTAGTTATTAGTATTTTATTTATTTATTTATTTATTTATTTATTTTCTGGACTGTTACAATGTGTTTAAAATACTGTGTGCCAACTTGGTTCATCTGTTATACCTGTCAAATCGTAAGCACATTTGAAGTAATTCTGCAGATGTAGTTCTGTGTTGGTGTGTAGAATTTCTCTTTGCAGGTACTCAGTACAGAACAAGACAGATACTTTTAGTCTTCACTGATTGTAGCTTGAAGTAACAACAGTTGGGGATATGAAACTACACATATAGCTGCAGTGTCAGCCACTCAGCTCACACTGCTCAAAAGCTTTTGTTAAAATTATATTTTTTTTATAAAGGGCATTTTCAAACAATCTGTAATTAAGCTTTCCTTTGGATGCATGTGTAGACTAAACATTACTTGTTTTGAAATTTGGTTAGTCTGTGTTTTCTTTGGGGGAACAAAAAAAATGAAAGCATTCGTGGAAAAACATGAAGCAACATCTTAGAGTGATTTTTACTGTCTTTGGCTTATGAAATTATTTTTAGGGGATTCAAGAAACTGTTCATTTGAGGACCAAAAGCAGCTGGCTTTGTTGGTTATGGAGACCCTGATGATACTATTACAAGGATCAAACACTAATGCAGGTAAGTGGAGATGCTACTGGCAAGTCAGGTATAAAAATGTTACTGAGAAGTTTGCGTACAGGCAAGAGAGTCTTCATTTTCTATCTTCAGGCAGTTAATCACACTGAAATACTCTTTTTCTCTTGCAAAGTTCTTACTATAAGAGAATCAGTAGAATAAGCTGGAATGCATAAAATAAAGGAGTTTCAGATGGTTGGTTGGTTGTTTTAAATTAAGATTCTTGGGAGTTCTTTACTTGAACCACCCCTGCCCCCGTTTTTCCCCAAACAATACTATAATAATTTGTGGTAGCTTGTATTTTTAACACAGTTTGTATTTTGAAAATTTTAAGCACTTAATTAGGCATGTAATTTGCTGTTGACAATGTCATGTGGACTGAAATCAGATTAAAAATGTGTGCCATTGTTAATGGAAGATGGCTTTTCCTTTTTTAGAAGTATACATTTCATATAAAAAAGCCAGTATATATATATATATATATATATATATATATATATATATATATATATATATAAAAATAGGGCTCACTTGCAAGCGTCCTTCTCTAAATGAGGAAGATTTATATTAGTTTATGCCTTATTTCATTATCCAACGCATGGTAACATTGACACAGACAATGTGTCTATCTCATATTAGTACAAGCTATCTCTTAGAACTTAAAAAAAAAAAAAGTTTTATATATACATATATATATACATATATATATACATATATATATATAAGTAATAGATGTTCTTAAAACCTTTTGCTCTATTGTATTAGAGGAAGAAGAAAAAGAGAAGGGGTAGGGAAGGGACACCACCCTGAGGAACCAGTTTCTGGCTTTGGAGGCCATGAGACATCCTTATTTCATCAGTTTATTTCTTCTTTTTCTCAGTTCTGGCTGCTGCTTCCTACCCCTTGGTTTAGTCTGCTTTCTACCCCTTGGTTTTGTTTGCTTTCATTCAAGTAGGAGAGATGAGAATCCATGGCAAGTGTTTAAGAACAAAATTGTGAAAGCTGTCCATCTCAGTTGACAACTTGCTGTTTAACGATAGCTCCTGGTCTAATAGCAGAAAGCTTTTAATTTTTTTCTTATTGGTTTTGCTTGGGAAAATTATTTTCTCTAAATACAGGCTCAGTGTTCAATAGCTGCTAGACAAGTAGGACTAGTTTGCTGAACAAACTTCTGTAACAAATGAGGTTTTGCTCTTATTTGTAAGCTTTTTTCCCACAATGATCTTCCTCATACAGGTGAGTTAATTTATACTTGTGAGTGATTTTTCTGAATAACCACAGCTGGGAAAGCAGTCCAGTTGGTCATAATAGAGAACTGATGGGTGAATTAATATTTCTCAAGGTAAAGTAGTATTTACAATAAGGTATTGCTTTAAAATGGAATACAAATTATAAAGTAATAGGCAATCAGTAGGGAGTCGGTCCAACCATTGGGTCCATCTTTAAGCCTTAGTTGGTGTCTTTCACATTTTAAGAGATTCTGTGCTACCATGAGCCTTCTGACAGATTTTTGCTTCCTGCCTTTGGCAAGTTATGTGCATTGTGTCCGCTGTGCTTTGTTTATTAAATCCAACAAGATGGTCATTGAAAGCATAGTGGCTTGCTAAAAAAAAAAATAAAATAAATAAATCCCATTGAGTTGATGGTTTGCTCTTTCTTAATTCAAGGGAGTGTTTGAGCAGGGAGATGTTCTCAAGTGCATCAGAGCTTATGTGAAGGGATCGATCTGTACCTGTAATCCACAGACCAGATTTGATTTAAGGGACTTTAAAGAACCATCAAGAAAATGAGTCTCTTGCTATTAAGTCTAAGGTTGCTGAAGGATTCTGCAGCTCTAATAGACCAGTTGAGGGCTTTGCTCCAGATTAAGAAGGAAGTGCTAGGGAAGAGTCTTGTGTTTTCAGAAAAAGCAAGGGAGAATTGGCTTCGTCTCTTCCTCTCCTTTTTTAGGGAAGTGTGAAAAGATATCTGTGTTAATCTGAATCCTATGGTCTTTCTCCAGCAATGAAACAAGAAATCAAGTTAAAAGTTAAAATATGCTTCTGTACAAAATAACATGCTAAAACGTACAATGACTTTACTGAGGAAACCATCCATGATTTGTTTATATCTCTGGCAAGCTAATCTAGAGTTTGTATCAGAATATAGCAGCTGTTATTTGTGACCTACAGGAGAAAAAAAAAGGTTTTCAGTTTTTCTCCTCCCATCTTTATTTATAATTTTCCTGTTTTATGGGAGAGTACATGTGCATTGAAAAGCTAATTCTTCTAGCTTTTGACTAATGCAATTCCAGCAGATAATAGTTTTTTGTTTCATGGGTAAAAATGCTTGCATACCTTAATTCTGTCTCATTATTCAAATCCTTCAGAGGAGTTGAAATCTTGCTAGGGTAGGATGAGAGTGACTGTTATCAGTGCAAGCAAGTGAAAAACATTTCCTCTGTCTGCTGCAGTCCAGGAACTGAGTGACAACATGTCCGATATGGTTAGTGGTTGAGATTCAGAGTAGAACAATAACTGCATGTTAGTGTACTCTGGAGGAGTGAAAATCCTGTCTGGGTATATTTTGAATGAGTTATCCAAGTGTAACAAAATTAGCAATATTGCTTTTGGAAAGGCATGAATTCATATCGTCTAGCTCTGTGCAGAGGCTGACCATCTGCGTGTAGGTCATTCTGAGCAGATCTTCGGAGTATCTATTGAAAAACCTACCCAGAAGGTTTTTATACAGTGTTCCTACCTCAATGGTCCTAGTGATTTATCACTTGTCGATGTTCTTCCTCACAGACAATGCATTCTCTGTTTTGAGTTAAGCTGAAATCTTTGTCATCTATCCTATTGTTGATGCTCTTGGAGGGCAGCAGCAGATCATTAATATATTTAAAATGGTCACACGTAGGTTGGATGATTTATATTCTCTTGCTATGTCTCAGGTGCAATATGCATCCTTCTTAATATCCTGTGGTATTAATTTGCATTTTTCTTCCTGTGCAATATTTAGACTTAATTGTCTTGTAATATGTTTGCAATCCTCTGAAACCTCCAGTGTTGTCTAAGCCATTACACTGCTGCACTTGTTTTCAAGTTCTGCCAAGCTTGTTGTTTGAGGTCACTTTTAGAGATGGCTTTGGCATTCTGTACACCAAGCATTTACGTCTGCAAGCTTGGCTTTGTCCACACACTTGATAAGTATGCTCTTTAATATGTCAGCAAAGGCATTTTTCACAACACTCAAGATAACCCCCAGTGGTTTGTCCTTTGTCAAATCAGAAAGGCATAGCAGAGAAGCAGGCATAACAAGGAGAACAAGTCCTATGAGGAGCGGCTGAGGGAGCTGGGCTTGTTCAGCCTGGAGAAAAGGAGGCTCAGGGGCGACCTTATTGCTCTCTACAGATAACCTTAAAGGAGGCTGTAGCGAGGTGGGGGTTGGCCTGTTCTCCCACGTGCCTGGTGACAGGACGAGGGGGAATGGGCTAAAGTCGCGCCAGGGGAGTTTTAGGTTGGATCTTAGGAAGAACTTCTTTACCAAAAGGGTTGTTAGACATTGGAACAGGCTGCCCAGGGAGGTGGTGGAGTCACCATCCCTGGAAGTCTTTAAAAGACGTTTAGATGTAGAGCTTAGGGATATGGTTTAGTGGGGACTGTTAGCGTTAGGTCAGATGTTGGACTCAATGATCTTGAGGTCTCTTCCAATCTAGAAATTCTGTGATTCTGTGAACTCTGAGCTGATGTTTCAATTAGTTATGCATTTAGTCTGTCATGGTTGCATTTAGGCTATTTTGTTGGGTTGTTTGTAAGAATGCTGTGGATAACACTACCAGAAGCATTCCTAAAGCTGAGATACATTGCATAGGCTGCTTTCCTTTTACCCACTGAGCTAGTTATCCTGTCAAGGGGGAGGAAAAAACCACAATACTGTTGATTTAGTTTATAACTCTTTTCAATGGTGATTGAAGAAACGGGCTAATTAGGCTGAAATAATAAGGTTCCAGAGAGAAATTAGCATAGATGACAGGTGAATCATGTGAATCCATTATACACTTCTGCATTTATTGCTCAGCCTTGATTTTCCCATGACAGAAAAGGCAGAATCGGAAAACAATCAGAAAGGAGTGATGCGAAGGGAAGGTTACATATGGGAGCTTCTACATAAGGAGAGTTTAAAACAACAAAAAACCAGGATTGTTTAATTTCTAAAGATGAATGAGAGGAAGTGGTGTAAATATGTGATAACATCTTTGAAGGACCGAAACTGCCTTGTAATTCATAAGTGGCAGGTCTCTCTTTGCTGTTAAGCAGCAATCCTGACCTCACCAGGGAAGTTGGAAGCAAACATCAGTTCCTCTTTGCTACTTCTCAGTACTGAGTTCAACTCCAAGAGAAGTGAAAGAAAGTGCATGAAACACATCAGAGGTGTGGTATGGCACTACAGATGTTGTTTCTAAGGACCACAGAGTTCAAAAGTCACATTTTGATCAGTGGCTCCAAGTTCAGGAGTATGATAGAGCTATACAGGAGAAAGAGGTAAGAAACCATTACTCAGAAAAGTTGTGTTTGTTGTTAGTGCAGTATGATGGGGACATGAGCACAGTGGTAATGTATCCAGAGGTTGGCAGAGGTTTTAGGTCAGCATGCACAGTCACACAAACAGGCTTTATTGAGCCTTGTGCTGTTTCATCCCATACTCAAAGCCTCAAAGCTTAGTTTCTGGCTTTAAACTCTTGTGTCTCTTAAGGTTTCTTGAAAATTCAGTAACTAATGAGAGAAATTCAAATGAGGAATTTAGGTGTCCCCAGACCCAGACAGATTCACAGTATGGTCAGAAATCTAGACTGAGAGAGGGGGGAATTACTGAAATGTTACCTCGCTATTTGTGAATCATAGATAGTCCTGGGTTGGAAGGGACCTCTAGGGGTCATCAAGTCCAACTCCTGTGGTCTCTTCAGAAGATAACTCCAGCAGGAGATGCTGCAGTTGCCCTATGGAGGGGTGCCACCAACTTCACTGCCTCGGGGTTTGAGGTCTCTACTTCTGCCATGTCCAAGTCTGTATCTCATCCAAAGAACATAAGAGAAAGCAAGAGGCAAAAACTTGGAAATGGATCATGCAATTTGGTATATATGAATTAGAATGAATGTCTTGACTAGCTCATTAATAGCTTTTGTAATTTAAACTGCCTTTGTAATTTACGGTTATGAAGAAAATGATCTCTTTTGATGCCATAATGTAGCATTGTTCCATTAGCTTACTCTGTTCTTACCTTAAGTAATTGCACAGGCCACTACTACTACATTGCACACTAATTGCTATTAATGCTGTGCTAAATACCTGTTACATGTTCTGTAAAAATTTCCATTTCTTGTTTATTATGTTTTCAGAATGGATTTTCAATTAATATTGCACGTGTTCTTCTGCATATCCAGTAAACTTGAGAATAATGATTTGTTTAAGCTCTATCACTCTTGAGATGGATCGTGGCAGAAGAAAACTTCTGTATTGTCCTGCAATCCTCATGGATAAAGTGAATTGGTGCTCAGTCAGTGCTTGTAGCTTGGCTGCTCTTTTTCAGAAGCCCAGTTACATTTGGGCAATGAACAAAATGTAATACAAACACGATCCTTAATCAAAGTAGCCAATAGTCTTCCTTAAAGATGCAGATTTTGTTGCATTTTTATGTTCTTTCTGTCTGTGAGTCTTCAAACTCTAGCACAAAAAGAATGTTTGTTGAAGTGATAGGATTGGTGAGGAGGTTATTAGAACAGGGATGGGTGGGCACCGCGGTGGGCTTGGGGTTTGGTTGGGTGCTGAACCCGCTATTCACCCCCTCCATGTTTTGGGCTGAGGCCAACTGCATGAAGTTCCAACAAGACCAAGTGCCAGGTCCTGCATCTGGGGTGCAATAACCCCAAGCAGAGCTACAGGCTGGGAGATGAGTGGTTGGAGAGCTGCCAGGCAGAGAAGGACCTGGGAGTATTGGTGGATAGTCGGCTGAATATGAGCCAGCAGTGTGCTCAGGTAGCCAGGAAGGCCAACAGCATCCTGGCTTGCATAAGCAGTGTGGCTGGCAGGGGTGGGGAAGTGCCTTTCCCACTTTACTCGACTCTGGTGAGGCCGCACCTCAAGTACTGTGTTCAGTTTTGGGCCCCTCGCTACAAGAAGGACATGGAGATCCTCAAGAGATTCCAGAGAAGGGCAACGAAGCTGGTGAGGGGTCTGGAGAACAAGTCCTACGAGGAGCGGCTGAAGGAGCTGGGCTTGTTCAGCCTGGAGAAGAGGAGGCTCAGGGGTGACCTTATCGCTCTCTACAGGTACCTAAAAGGAGGCTGTAGCAAGGTTGGGGGTTGGTCTGTTCTCCAGCGTGCCTGGTGACAGGACGAGGGGGAATGGACTAAAGTTGCACTGGGGAGTTTTAGGTTGGATCTTAGGAAGAACTTCTTTACTGAAAGGGTTGTTAGGCATTGGAATGGGCTGCCCAGGGAGGTGGTTGAGTCACCATCCCTGGAGGTCTTTAAAAGATGTTTAGATGTAGAACTTAGTGATATGGTTTAGTGGAGGCCTTGTTAGTGTTAGGTCAGAGGTTGGACTAGGTGATCTTGGAGGTCTCTTCCAACCTAGATAATTCTGTGATTCTGTAACTGTACCCTTGTTTTCAGCAGCTTTAGTGAAAAACACTGCAAGAAGAGTATCATTTCAGTTCTGTTTGTTTAGCCTGAGAGATGCAAACAGCAGTAAAAGTTGTTAAAAATCTGTATGACTAAAACCCTGTCAATCAATCTAAGAAGTAAAACTAAATGCTTTTCATGTTCTTTGTTGTTATTTGTTACTGACTGTATTTTTTGTTGTTGTTGTTACTTGTGCTCCTATCCTTACACCACTCCCATCCCCACCCCCAATCTGCATAGGTATTTTCAGGGAGTTTGGTGGTGCGAGATGTGTGCACAACATTGTGAAGTATCCCCAATGTCGACAGCACGCACTGATGATCATTCAGCAGTTGGTGTTATCACCTAGTGGAGATGATGATATGGGCACTTTGTTGGGACTGATGCACTCTGCTCCACCTATGGAACTGCAGCTGAAAACGGACATCTTAAGGGTAAATGAAGTATTGCTTAGGACGTTTACTCCGAAGCCACTCATTCCCTTTTTTTATACTTGTTTTTAAAAAGAATATACTGAGAAGGGGATTTGGATGGGTGGATGATATTGAACTACTGAAGTTATGGTGTTAAAATGAGTACATTTGATGTATTTTTTGGTTTCTATCCATCCATTGCAGTTTTCGGAATCACAGAGATTAAAGCTAGTGAATGAATTTGTGATTTTAGTGCTAATCACTTGTAATCAGCCTTAGGAAATGAGGTTCTCCGACTATGGTGATCTTCCCTGGCAGGGTATTATTCAGTTAAATACATTGAGAATACATGGGGAAAAAAGCAAGCATGTAATACACAAGTGTTTTTTCAGCACTAGCTTGTGTTTTCTTGAGGCAGACCTGCTTTGTTATTAAACATTTAAAACTAATGTACTGTGGTATGAATCAATATAAATGTTAATCATGGTAACTGATAATTCAAGGGGGGGAGAACAAAAACAAAACTAGCAAAACACTTTTAAGCAAAACAGTGGAAACGTTGGAAAGGAAGACTGGGAGTGGAGAAAGAGAAGACTGTTCTTTCTTACACTTTTTTTTTTGGTTGCTAATCTAGACCCACAGATTTCTTCTCAAAATAGCTAATGCTATTTTTAAAATTAACATGATGATATTGTGTGAGGGTAGAAAAACTATGGCAAGTAGTAATAGGTAAATGAATTTTACTGGAAAGAACTCACACATTTAGGTTCATCTCTGTTATAATGAGCTGCAGTGTTGCTCTAGCTGAGGAGCAGCCTTATATTATTCTGCAAGAGAAAAAGGAAAGGCAATAAAATGAGTCATTTTACATTTTTTGTATATCAGTGTCTTCACTAATTTTTAAGTGTGTCTCATTCATGATACTTAAGGGCAGAGAAAAATTACTGCAGTTCCCATTGGATTTAAGGTAGTATGTCAAGGTTCCTGACTCTTTGTCTGACCTGTTGTTGTTTTTGCCTGCCATCTGTCCTGTGTTCAGAAGCTTTGGTGATGGAACTGACAGCCCAGAAGGGTGCAGTGATATGTCCCTAACTATTATCCAGGTTTGGCAGGGAAAATTAGATAATGCCCTCAAAGGAGTGAAAAACAGTCTGTTTCATTACTCCTCAAAACAGCACGACTCTGAAGAAATAAACACTGGGTCATGGAAGACTTATTTTTTTCTAGCCTAGTTTGTTGTACCAGGGATGGCTTTCTACTGTCTGTGATCCTTTATAGAAAGGATTTTTTTGGTATTCATTATTCACATGTGGGTCAAACTTCCCATGACAACTGGCTTGTTTTGGTTGGGTGAGATTTGTACCTGCCCCCATTCACCCTGGTTTCACAGAGGTATTTATATTATCCTGTGATACCTTTATTATTATTATTCTACAATCACGCATACTGTGGCCTTGTGTTCATTCAGCCAGTAACATTTTCTACATATTTGTTTCCATCTCAGGCTGTTTTTGATTGACTGCTCTTTTAAAGCTATGTTTCATTCAGTTCAAAGATTTATGGGTTTCATTGTAGAGAGAGGCTAAAACTAAGAATTTTTGTGCTTTTTTTTTTTTTTTTTGCTAAATCTTTGCTGTTGTGTTGTGTTTGAGTGCCTGTAGTACCTAGCCAAGTGCTTATACTTCATATATTTTTACAGCCTATGTTAGTGTTCTCCAAGGTTTTAAGTGGTTTGATTTCTTGTAGCTACAGGCAGTAGTTTGCCCGCTCTTGTTTCAAATTGTTTGTGAAGTATGGTGGCAGAGCAGATGCCTCTCTAACAGCTGTAGTCTCTTAGTGGTAAGGCAGAGAATTATTTGGTGATTTTGGGTCCATTATAGATGTAGTCAAGCCTTTTTTTGTTGGCTGGATCATTTACGTCCTTACTATCTAATTTCTAAATTAGGGATAATGCTTTGCTTCTTCCTCCAATCTTTGTCTTTTTGTTTTGTAACCTCTTGATGACATGGACTTTTACAAAGATCTCTGGAGACTTGATGCATTACCAAATTCTGACAAATACTAATAATCTTGCTTGTATCTCAAAAGAAAATATTCCTGTGTTTTTTTTTCAAGCTATTAGTAATGCTGCAGGGTTTTTTTTCTTCTTTGTTTTGATGTTTTTTTTTTGTCCGTAGGCCCTACTCTCTGTGCTAAGAGAGAGCCACCGCACAAGAACTGTTTTTAGAAAAGTTGGTGGATTTGTGTATGTCACATCTCTGCTAGTTGCTATGGAAAAATCTTTGTGCTCACCACCGAAGAATGGCTGGGAGAAAGTAAACCAGAATCAAGTGTTTGAACTGCTCCACACTGTGTTCTGCACATTGACTGCAGCAATGCGCTACGAGCCAGCCAACTCTCATTTCTTCAAAACAGAGATCCAGTATGAAAAACTGGCAGATGCTGTTCGCTTGCTTGGCTGCTTCTCAGACTCAAGAAAAATAAGCCCATTGAATGTCTTTCCTTCAAATACACAACTATTTCAAAGACTATTGGAGGATGACCTAATACCCCTGGATTCCGTCTCACCTATGTTAAGACACTGCAGCAAACTTTTTATTTACCTCTACAAGGTAGCAACAGATTCTTTTGACAGGTATGTACTTTGCTGTTTTTTCCCTGGTATTCCCCTAAATAGTTTCCTTCAAATGTCTTCATCGCAAGCTTTTATATACCCATGTTAATCTATTTCTTTGTTCCTTTACTCCAGTGAGAGGAATAAGGTGTCTGCATCTGACCAAATATTGACTTAGCTTGCTGGTGTTCTCAAGGGTATGCAATATTCCCTCTGATGTTGAATGTTTTTGTTATGGTAGCAATTAAAATACAGATGTCAGTTTGTGATTATATTTGCTGACTTTAAGCAGCCCGTTGGTTGATACGCAGACTACTTGGTTGCTTTGTCATATAAAACGACTGGAACTTTATGCGTTTATTAAGCCAAATGAAAAACTGGTTGTTGAACGTGACACCTTAACTTATTGTTTGCTTTAATATATGAGACTGGAAACTAAGTCACTGGATAATATGATGAATTTACTTTGTTTTAGATGGATAGGCATGTTCTACAAAGCTCTACCTAGCCTGAAATTGTTTTAAAAATGAGACAAGTCGTAGATTGTTTTAAAAATGAGACAGTCCTATATTTAAGCAGGTAGAATTTAATGACACCTGACATGAGGAATAAAAAGTAATGCATGTCTTTTAGGTTGATTCAAAAATGACAACAAAGCGTATTGAAGTATGTGTTTAAGATTTACTTGTCTGAAGGTAATTCTTACTTAAAATACAAGGTACTAAGAAGTAAAATATAGACGTAGGCTTTATATGTAGGTTCTGCACCCCAGCTAATTAATGAACATAACTCTATTTTCTCAAAGATGTGCCATTGAATTTAGAATCAAACCAAGGATCTGATTTTCCAAGCGTGGCAGGTGTGAATATGTATGGTGAAATCCTAATAGATCTGCAGGTTGGTCAGGCTTTCTTCAAGTAGGTGACTAGTAACATACCAAAATAATGGTTTTGTTTATGCAAAATTTGCTTCCAAAGTATCAAATCATCATCTGTAGTTTAAAAAAGACAAAACAACAGTGACAAAAACAAAACAAAGAAATCACCAACCAAGTAAAGAAATGAATTTCTTATTCTCAGTTTGAAAGATCATTAAAACATTCAGATTGAGGGAGGAAAATGTGTATTAAGAATACATTGCACATGCTTTAGTGAATTGTAATACTGGCTAACAGTAGAGTATGAGGATTCAATGGGGTAAGTAAATCCCATAGTGCTCGGGCATAAGCTACTGTCATTAATTTCCTTTTTTACTTCTGCTGTCATCTTCAGTGACTGCTTTTTCCCTTCTTCAATTTTCTGATGCTCAGTTCTTGTAAAGTTCATGTTGCTTTTATCTCTTAACCACATTGATCACACTCGCTCAGGCTTTACTTTCCTTCATTTCTGCTGTCTGATGTAAAAGTGTTCTGTTCTGTAAGCGTGATCATGTTGATAAACTCTGCGAATACTGACCAAGTGCTGCAGGGTCATGCCACACAGCAAGGATATGCTTTTGCATGTCCGCGTGTTCACCTGGTGCATGTTGCTCAGTAGCGTCCTCTGTCATCTGTGCTGTTTCTGAAGAACAGATCCTAGAAAAGACTTCATTGGTGATGGCTGTGGAAAACTAACAAGCTTTTGGCCTCTGGTTTCTTCTCTAACCTTTCTGTCCTACCCCTGTGTGTTTTGTCTGTAGTCGTGCAGAACAGATCCCTCCTTGCCTGACAAATGAGACTTCTCTCCCCTCTCCCTGGGGTACGCCAGCTTTGTCCAGGAAAAGGTACTGAACCTTTTAAGATCACTTGATCTCAGTTCTGTTTTCTCACTGTTGTTTCTTCATTCTCATTTCTCTCTGAAGTGGCTATTATTTATGAGGTGTGTGTTTTTGCTTTTATATTTCCTGGGTAAAATAAACATAAAGGTATGTTTCATAGCAAATTGTAGGTAGTGATGCTAATACATGACATCCAAATATCCAAATATCTCCATACACCTGAATCACTTGGAGCTAAGTTCCTGTTTGAAAACGAACAAGGTCTGCATAAGAAGTGGTCTAAGGGAGATATAAATTTACACTATCAGGAGCAGCTTGAAAAAGTTCAGACAAGGCTAGTCGATCAAGTAATAGAGCAGGATTTCTTTTCCCCTAACTAATTTTTTTCAGGAAGAGGAACTTTCAGTCAGAAGGTTGATGGCTTGTTAGGGTGTTCATTCATAACAGTCAGATGGGCTTTTTACCTTGTCTACTGCTTCCTTTCCCTCCCTAGCAGGGTGATACAAGTAATGTATAAGCAAATGAATTTTTTGCAGTTGGTGCTGACATATTGGTAGATAACATTTGATCAACAGTTTGGCAGAATTTTGAGTTCTTTTCTCTGCCTAGGGAAATGCTTTTGAACTGTTTTCCCTGTTTTTATGAAAGTACTTCTTACATGGAAAACTACATAGGGAAGTTAGTGAATTTTAAAATGCTGTACAAAACATACACTTAATAATGTTTGCTTTTAGGTTATACCTTTTGGCTATATTGCTCACAGAAAAACAAATTGTCTGGTTGTGATGGGTATCCCCTTTCCAGGTCATTGTATGCAGTGTTGAAGGGCAGGCAGTTTGACCATCTGCTTGTTTGTGAATCATAGTGAGTATCGACTTGGGAGTTTAATTTGGATCTCCCTGTACTGCTGTATTGTAATTTCCAAGTGTATTTAATGAGGTTGATGTGATAGTGATGGTTAGGATGTGTACAAGTAAAATTTATGCTTAAAAGTAGATGGAAGTTTGTTCTTACAGAGCATCTTGGAGTGGGGTTTCATTAGACTGAAGAACTTTGCTAAATACAAGCAGGTTTTTGAATTGTATCCTGTAAATTTTGTGTTGAGGCTCTCAAGGTGATGTTGTAAAGCAGCAACAGTTTTCTTGTTCAGATGTGGGTCGGAAGATTTTTGTTCAAGTACCGCTGCTAGGATGCATGAAAAAAATGGCCCTTATTTCAATCTCAGCATTAAGAAGGTGAAAAGGGTTAAGGTGCTTACTGTGAGTAATAGAAGAGCAGAACAACTTGTCACTACTTAATCATGTTATAAATGAAGTCTCAACTCAATCTGAATTTTGTAATATTTATAAAACAAATATTTCTAAAAAGTATAAAAGGCAAGTAAACAGCACTTGGTCCACAGGGAGTCTGCGTTCCACCAACACGCACACACGAACATCAAACATTCTAAATATACAGAACATGGTTTTACATACTAAACCCGAGTATGCCTATACAATCAGGAAAGGTAACAAACAATTCTTTAAGTTCCATAACTTACTAAAATCGAGTACACCTAAACATATGTACAATCAGAAAAGGCAACAAACAATCCTTTAAGTTTCATGACTTAACAGTCTCCATTTTCCATTCCTTTTGAGCGATATGACTTGCTTTAAGTTGTCAAGCAACTCGGCCTTCAGGCCTTATGTATCCCATTCTTCCCGGATCAAAGAAGAGCGTATTTATCTCCTTTTCAAGGCCAATAGGGCCTGGGTCAAAAGGCACGTCCAGGTCACCAGGGGGCGTAACAGCAAAAGCCTTCGATGGCTGTAGCAGCAGAGGGGCCGGGCCGATGGTGTAGCAGTTGGATCAGTAAAGGAGCCCGCAGCTCCCTCACTGCCTGGCAAACCACACGTGTCTGACTGTGGTCCCACGCGGCTCTTTAAGGCCTCAGAGACTGCTCGCCAGGTGCTGAGTAATCCTGCTGCAACCTGCAACCTTTTTAGTTGCAGAGTCCCATGCTTTGACCTCAATTTGGTCCCATATTTCAGGCTCATAAACTGTCCAATTGTTAATAAGGAGAATAAGCTGTAAGGTTACCAGGACAGTCTTTGTTCCTAAGGACGTATGATTCCCCATAATGTGCTGCTGCTTACCAGCGAGGGGCAGCTGTGTGCGCGGCTCCGCTTCTCTCAGCTTGAGCTTCTTCCCAGCTCCGGTGCGCCCATTTCCAGCAACTTTCTGTACGAGCTTCTCTGAGCAGTTTGCTGAGTTTGGCCGAACCGATCTTCATGAGGTGATCAATTTGCTTGCTCCCATCCTGGTCTCCATTCTGCCAGCCTGTTCCTCTTCCCTTTTTCCTGCTTCTTTAGTGATGACATAACTTCATCGTGTTGCCTTTTTTTTTTTTTTTTTTTTGTCTTGAGGGCAGGCTCCGCTCTTATACCCTTCTCTCCACAGCAGTTCTTTTTAAAACAACTTTTTATTGGTCAAACAATTTTGAATGTAACAAAAACAGCAAACACCCAGAAACATCCATGCCTTAATGGCTGGAGAACAAGAGACCAGCTGGAGAACAAGAAACCGGAGACTGCATGGCATCTCCTGAATCACCCTTCTTTGTTCCCTGTTTTATATTCCTGATGGCCTCGTCCTTAAGAGTCTAATGTTATCTCAACCACGGGGCTTTCCAACCCCCATGGCCACACTCCCAAATCTCCCCCTTCTTTATTAATATCAACCATTTTCTTGACACGAATTACCACTCCATATATAACAATCACATTTAAGTTTCAAAGAGAAAACCACGACTACTTCTACCTACGTGGTATTTCAAGCACTAAGTTCGTTTGAAACATTAGTGGAAGAGAGTTTGTGGAAATACTTGGGAAAATTGATTTGTACAGATAATTTTTTTTTCTTAAACCTGTTGTTATAAATTGTGAGAAACACTCCGTAGCCAATAACTTAGGCTCAGGCGAGGATCTCAGTGAAGCAGCAATTTTATTTGTGATTGCAATGGCAGGTGCCCCACAAGCAGGAGAGAGCGCATCTACTAGTTCCAAAACACAGTTTATATACCTTTTGATGGCAGGACCCTCCCCTGTTTCCCCACTGAGTGGGTAATCCAGGTTCACAATCTATCTGATGCTTCACAAACAATGCATGGCCTTCAGTTGCCAGCCTGTAAATTTCAAATTTCTTTTGACATTTTTACTGCTTGAAGTGGTAATGTTTCTTCACTTATCTGACTTGACACCGTGATTTTCACCTAATTGTCCTCAGGAGTCTGGTTGTCTGCATTTTACAAGGTCGCCTGCTAAACTTTCTTATCACTGTAAGCATATCTCAGTACCACATTCCCTCCTTCTAAACAATGTAACTCTGCAAAAACAACATTTCTATTCCCACATTTCCTCCCTTCTCTTTTTTTTTTTTATAAACTGTTGATTTTTGCAAAACCTTTTTCTAAGGTGTAAATTGATAGATTTCTTCTTCTTCTTTGCTTTCCATCTCTTCATTATCACCTTATCTGAGTAAGGTGGTAGCTCCATGGTCATTTGTTTCAATAGTGCGGTTTCAGTTAACCACTGTACTAGTCCTCTTACACAGGGGATAATACAGCAACCAATGGCTGTCAAAACTCCTACAACTACGATCAAGTATGTAACTATGTCTACTTTTTCTGCCAATTCAATGGCAAGGGTGGTAAGCCCTTGCAATGCTCTAGTTACTGAGCCATCTGGGACAGTATTGTTGGGTGTAAAGGTGCAACAGTGGTTGCTCAGTATCACACACCTCCTTCCTCCGTGAGCATCATATTAGATGTAGAGCTTAGGGATATGGTTTAGTGGGGACTGTTAGTGTTAGGTTAGAGGTTGGACTCGATGATCTTGAGGTCTCTTCCAACCTAGAAATTCTGTGATTCTGTGATTGTGTGATATCTAATGATATCCTGTTTTCCCAAGCCATTTTTCTGGTGGCATCTAGTTGTTCAGCAATTCCTCTCATTGCATCCCTGGTATATTTGATGAATCTCTGCTGATTATAATAGATATAATTAATCCAATCCACATTTTTATTGATTGTTACCCACCAGAACAGTGACTCAAACCCTGCAGCAATTTGATTTCTGGTTTTATGTTCATCTGGAACGCCTCTAGGTACCCCAATAGAATCTTTGTATACTCTATCATCAAATTATATTCCTAAACCTCTTTTACTTATTCTGGGTATTTGTGATGTTTCTCTTTCAAATGCCAGGGTGAAGGGTATAGCTAATTGAACAAGTGCACAAGTGCCTTCGCAATCAGATGGTAGGGTGGACCGTTAGATCTTCCCTCCACCGTACCACCAGAGATCTGCCCTGAAGGATCTCAGGTCTTGAGCAGTTTCCCATCAAGTCCTTGGCAGCAGAAGGCAAATTCTCCCAGATGCTAGGTAGCACTCACACCCTGCCGTGAGAGGCAAGCTGTATGGTTACCTATAGCTGTGGAGAATACAGGGGGAACCGTGATATTGTTATCATGCAAGAAACAGCAAAGAGAGACTTACTGCCTGGGGAAATGAGGCCTGTCTTTTCTTGGTACAATGCAATCATACATCACATCCCTTGGGAGTCTTTGGTCCACCCCCATGGGAAGGGCACTGTCTGGGCAATCAGTCATCCCGAGGCACAAGCATAGCAGTAGCTACGGTTGAGACTCTGGACAGTATATTTGACCCATTCTATCCAGGCATTCACATCCCCATACCCTGTTTGAATCTCAAATGTTTGAACTGCCACATTTCAGAGGGCCTCCTGTTTTCTCTCCTGTTTTCTCCTTGAGTTTCTCCCTTTCTCTGATGGCAATAGAGGATTGTTTCCATACATCTATTCTCAATCTGGCTGTTGGGTCTCTCCCAGTTATTTGTTCTCTCTGCTCAATTGTCGTTGGGCATTGAAATGTCCACAAGCTAATACCTCACAAGCATCAAACGTGACAGCTTGTGGTATATAACCCTCTGTCACAGTCACCCATATT